AATCCTTTTGACACCAGTTACACAACAATCCTTTTGACACCAGTTACACAACAATCCTTTGGACGCCAGTTACACAACAATCCTGTTGACACCAGTTACAAAACAATCCTTTTGACACCAGTTACACACCAATCCTGTTGACACCAGTTACACAACAATCCTTTTGACGCCAGTTACACAACAATCCTTCAGACGCCAGTTACACAACAATCCTGTTGACACCAGTTACACAACAATCCTTGTGACACCAGTTACACAACAATCCTTTTGACACCAGTTACACAACAATCCTTCAGACGCCAGTTACACAACAATCCTTTTGACACCAGTTACACAAGAATCCTTTTGACACCAGTTACACAACAATCCTTTTGACACCAGTTACACAACAATCCTTTTGACACCAGTTACACAACAATCCTTTTGACACCAGTTACACAACAATCCTTCAGACGCCAGTTACACAACAATCCTTTTGACACCAGTTACACAAGAATCCTTTTGACACCAGTTACACAACAATCCTTTTGACACCAGTTACACAACAATCCTTCAGACGCCAGTTACACAACAATCCTTCAGACGCCAGTTACACAACAATCCTTTTGACACCAGTTACACAACAATCCTTCAGACGCCAGTTACACAACAATCCTGTTGACACCAGTTACACAACAATCCTTTAGACGCCAGTTACACAACAATCCTTTTGACGCCAGTTACACAACAATCCTTTTGACACCAGTTACACAACAATCCTTCAGACGGCAGTTACACAACAATCCTTCAGACGCCAGTTACACAAGAATCCTTTTGACACCAGTTACACAACAATCCTTTTGACGCCAGTTACACAACAATCCTTTTGACACCAGTTACACAACAATCCTTTTGACACCAGTTACACAACAATTCTTGTGATGCCAGTTACACACCAATCCTTTTGACTCCAGTTACACAACAATCCTTTTGACGCCAGTTACACAACAGACATACTGTACTAGTACCAAAATCTTTAAAATTTGCCTTCACTGATATTCAAACTCAAATATATGACACATCAAATAAAGTACAAAAATGATACAGTAAAATGTTACATTTATTTTTCAACTTCAAAATGGAAAAGAAAAAAAAACAAAGAAACCAGGGAGTAGAGGAAGTGTAAGAAAAATATCAAGACAAGTGACACAGCAAATAATATTTATGATATTGTATATTTTTTTTTGGTGGAAGGGGGAGGGGGGAGGGGGGGGGGAAGGAGGCAAAAGAGTGGGGGGGGGGGGGGCAGCAATAAAAATTAACTGTGGGTTAAAAAGGGAAGAAACAAACAAGAAAATAAGAAATTTATACAGATAATAAAAAGACAGCAGGGAATAAGAGGATTCTTCTGCTTCTTCTTGCGTTCAGTGGTTGCAAACTCTGGTGGAAAAATTCTGGACTTAGTCCTTTTTCCAGAATGTTGGTTCCTTGAATCTTAGGCAGATTCACAGTGACTTGTGAGGAAACACCATAATCTGTCTACTTTTACAGCATTCTTGATTGCGGGAGGGAGAGGGGGGCAATGGGTATATTCAGTTGTTCCCTGAAATGGGACACCAGAACCCACACGGGGCACAAGAGGACACAAATACCATTAGTTGGCATCAGCCAGTCCAGCGGAAAACAAAGTTGTAATATTATCACCAGTTTTAACATAAGTATTATAAATAAATATAACAATGGAAGAATAATCAGCGAAAAACAACTTAAATAAAATGTAATGCGTGGGAAGAAAAAACTCAAATGGTATTATGTAATCAACAGATCACGATAGGTTTAAAAAATAATTTTAAAAAAAAAAGGTCATATATTTAGTTGTTAGAGTCAATTGTATGCCAGAATGATGAAGGACAAAAACAGGAACTGTCAAAGTAGCAATATGCAAACACTACCACAGCTGCAATATAAATAAAATGACGAAATGGCAATGCAGATCAAGTGCTAGGACAGCAATGTAATTTGCTAAAGAGACAATTAAGAAATTCCCAAAAGTGCAATCTTCTTCTTATTCTCTTCCAACTTGCACCTCAGCAAAGTGTCCGGGGGAAGATGTAACATTTGTTGATGAGCTCTGTCAAGAGCACTATTAAGACTGATGTTCATTTCTGTAAGGCTGTTCTTCATGCGACCACTACATCTTTATGAGGTCTTCCCCTCGCTCTATTTCCGATGTAACGTATCAGTGTGGCTTGCTGTGGTAGATAGAACCAGGGCATTTAAAGTGCAATCTAAACTGCCAAAATGGCAATGTGTCAACTGCCATACTGACAATTTAAAAACAGCCAAAATAGAAATTAAACAATCATATTAGTGACAATTTATAAACGGCCAAAATGGCAATACTCCAAGACCTAATGTGACAATTTATAAACTGCTAAAATGGCAATACTTCAAGTGTCAGTGTGACAATTTATAAACTGCCAAAATGGCAATACTCCAAGACCTAATGTGACAATTTATAAACTGCTAAAATGGCAATACTTTAAGACCTAGTGTGACAATTTATAGACTGCTAAAATGGCAATAATTCAAGTGTCAGTGTGAAATTTTACATAAACAGTTCCTATCAATTACCCTTTTTTTTCAATCAGCAGGCTACCAACAAATAAACATAATATTTCATACAGTTTTTACAGAAAAGTGTTGGATGTAACCACCAAATTCGATCACTTTTAAATGAGTCTAAAAAAACTCAGAACATACAAAAGCAGTATTTTAGGAATAATTTTCTACAACGGTGAGCGTTGGAAAATGACAGCGGGAATTACGCATAAACTAAAGACATCTTAGAAATAAACGTCCAATGAGAAATTTGTGAATATTTTGGCAGAATAAGATCGCAAATGAAGACCTGAGGAGGAGAACAAAATGTCCTTCCCTGGCAAATGTTATCACGAGAGGAAGATGGAGATGGCTTAGATACCTTTGCAGAATGCTTTGTGCTACTTTGACAAGGACATCTCTTTGGAGGGATGAGGATGATCTTAGGAAGCCTGGAGAAGGATGGTAGAAAGAGAAATAAAGAATTGACATGGGATATTTTGGGAATGGACGTCATAGCACTCGGGACAATCACAAAGATGAGTAGATAGATAGATAGATAGATAGACAGACAGACAGACAGACAGACAGACAGACAGACAGACAGACAGACAGACAGATAAGACTAAACAGATAAGATTAGACAGTTAGACAGACAGACAGGTAGACAGATAGTGCCAATTTATAAGTGCCAGTTTATAAATTTTCACACTGGCACTTGAAGTGTTGCTATTTTAGCAGATAAATAGATAGACAGATAGAGAGACCGACAGCTGGACAGACAGACAGACAAATGTGCCATGCTGTGTACCTCTTGCCTCTTTGACAATGACCACAATCAACTCGACAACAACCAACTTCGCTAATTCTTTCACTGCCAAGTAGCTGACAATATGCTCACAGACCAGTCCAAAGAAAGTCATCACCATTTGCTAATAAGTCATCCTTTCCTACAACAATTATCCACAAGTAAGTGGTTGTAGTGTATGCAACTGTTCCACATTCAATGACTAATTTGAAGCCTAAGGTTGTGGGTTCCGGGGCCCCATTGTGGGGAAAACAAGAACAGACCCAATGCCTCCTCAACAAGCATGCCGTAGGAGTCGACTAACTGGGGGAACTTCCTTCGAAGTCGCAGTACATCTGCCCGAGTGGCAAGGAACAATCAACTGCACACAAGTAAGTAAGTAAAATGGATGCACACGCAAAACTCAGGCCTTGGCACAAAGCCAGAGTTCAAATGGATGAACAACCAGGACTTTCCGCCGGAGCTTACAGCCGGTGAACAGAGGAGGAGGAGGAGGAAGTTTAAGGAATAAAACCTGGTGCAATGAAGTCAATAATCTCATGTTTAACCCTGCCGCTCCGAGAGGGCTATATCTGGTCACTTCTGGCCATGACACAGTCCCATAAATGCCGATATATCGCCACTTCTGGCCATGACACAGTCCCATAAATGCCGAAATATCGCCACTTCTGGCCTTGACACAGTCCTATAAATGCCGAAATACCGCCACTTCTGCAATGACCTGTTCTTTAAAAGTGTAGTAAATGCTATTGATTCTATGTTGGCCTATGCACTGCTTCTTCTTTCTGTTCATTCAAGAGATGTAACTGTGTGTGCTATTTACGGCAAAGCTGCAATTGTTGTGCTTTTCGGCCAACACGTCCTACTTCATTAAGTATTTGTTGACACAGTTACCTTCCCGGCTAAGCAGTTTTGATTAGGCCAGAATGTGAATACAGTTAAGTAAAAATAGTATTTAGAGGGGTTTTCTTATGACCCCAATGCTTTATTTAAAGCCAAGTTGATGTCAAATGTTCCCATAAGCCTCAGTGATCGAGGTCACGGGGTCATCGCATGAGTTACCTGATATATATATATATATATATATATTGGGTTTTGTAGGCACCGAGGAATGTACTCCATTTAATGCTTGACTCTGTTTGCTTCTACTAATTACATCTTCATATATCTTTATATGATTAGAACCAATTTTAAAGTATAAACAAAAACAGTTTTCAAAAAATGTATTGTGGCCTGTGGTATATGGTTGCTTCTTCTTCAGTAACTGAGTGAATTCCCATGGGTTCTTGACCTACTTTTGTAAGTATTTATGGGCACAAAGGGTTAAATTATCCTCTCTTCCAACATTTTTTTATCCACAAACAATCAGCTGTACTGTACATAACTGTTCCAAAGAACGATTAATCGGAAGTTATATAAGAAAGTAGGCCATCTCCTCTTTAACACTTTACACTTTAAGAATATAACAAATTATATAACAAACTGATGTAACAATTGTCAGGGATAGACAGAATTAGCAGCTGAATAGTCTGCCTTACTTGCTCAAAAACAAAATTTTAAAAAGATGATAATCTACAACTGTAAAAACTATTTTTTTTTAAACGGTAAAACGCTATGTAAGCCTCTTCAAGATATGAATTTTGTCTGAGAATTCTAACTGGACAAATGGGAACGACTTTGCTAGCTTCATTCTGTCAAAAGCTGATATTTTCGCCAGAACTGTATGGGTGCTCGCATAGAATGCTAATGCTGAGGTATCTGTGGTTGGGGTTCCAATCATCAGGTGTGTATAGGACTGTATTTCTGGGCTGCCTGGCACAAGATCTTCTGTTTTGTTGTAACTGGGAGCAAAAGAATAACAGTATTAGTTCAGTATTCATCTGGAGCCACAGTAAGTGAATGTCTAGAAGAGTGATTCCAAAACTGTGGGCCGCAGCAAGCCATGACCTCTTCACAGGGGTGCCACAAAATATTCGGAAAAAAAATAAAAAATCTCTTACATACAAATAGTCAAACTTTAACTTAGGTTAGGGCGCCGTGGGAAAATTTTAATTAAAAAAAAAAGGTGCCACGACTAAGAAAAGTTTTGGAAACACTGGTCCAGAAGAAAGTCTAATTTTCAAATCCCCATCAAGGCAAATTTAAAAAAAAAAAAATGACCACAGCTCCCAGGTCAACCCAGCTTAAAATGGGTAGCAGGATTCCAGTGTGGGTTACGGGGCCCCTATTGTGTGTGTATGTGTATGTGTGTGTGTGGGGGGGGGGATGTAAAAGGTGACTTATTAAAAACTTGCTAAACTCAGATGTGTTGGAACAGACGGCGCAGATATCTCAGGCTAGTTGCAAACCACAAAACAAATGGCAGAGGAAGAAAAAGAAGACGAAGAAAAGTTACAAGTGGAAAGGATCAACTTCACTTCACCAACTGTATCCCTCATCACTGTCTCTCTCCACAGAAAGATTAGCAGCCGGTCAAAAGCATCACAAAAATCACAAACTCTGTAGCTTCAGCAAGGAGGAAAAAAAAAAGAATAACGTATACATCACACAAGAAATAGAGAAAAAAAGCAGCACAGCGAAACAAGAGGAAGAAGAAAGAAGAACTAGAAGATGAAAGAAGAGGGCAAAGAAGAAGAAAGAAACAGAAGAAAGGCAGACTGTGGTACAGTGAGCACATCACAGATAATCTCGTTCTGTCAACAACAAAAATACGTTTAGCCCCGTTTGTCTTTTATTAACCTACACTAAGTAGAAATGTTGTAAGCAAACAAAAGCCTTACATCCAATCTGGCCTAAGTTGGGTGAACCTGGTGACACCTGTCTGTGCCGTGAAGACATCAATATGCACGTGAACATCTGAGGACAGCAAGCAAATATAGTTGACTCCTCTGTATGGAGGAGGAAGGTAAGGGAAAACCAATACATCAATTCTCCCTTTCTCAGCCATCACAAAGCTCAGTTTCCAGTATGTTCAAATCATCTAGGCATTTGTAGGGGAAAAACAAAGAATACAAACACCAATAACCTACCATGATATTCGCATTGATCTTGACAAGTTTCACACTTCATCTTCATCACCACCAGTCATCTAGTAGGTCTTTAGCAGAACGTCGGTCTCATCATAGCCCGCTTGAAACAAACACTTTCTTGCAAAGATCTCCCACCTCATGCACTTTTCCATCCAAACTGTTACTTATATCCTGCGCCCATCTTTGCGCTGGTTGGCCTGCGCCCCTCTTTCCTGGCAATGTGCCTTCTGTTACTATTCTTTCACATCTGTGGTGCCGCTTGATATGGCCAAAATATTTATGAGACAAGATTTTTAAATGCCACAAGCACAACACATTAACCCTTTCCTCCTGTTAGAAATCTTACACTTGTTTTTTTTTTTTTTTCTTTAAAAAAAAAAAATTAACTCATTATTATAATTTTGTGAAACTTTAACCTAAGAAACTAGAGGACAAAAATAATTGAAAGACATTTGCCGTCTTGCTCCATTAATTTTTTTAAATCCAGGGGGTCGAAACTTATGGCCGCCAAGCAGACAGGCAAACCTGCTATCATATCTACTGCATCTACACAGACACCAAATCACTAAAAAAAAAAAAGGATTTGTCATATTTACATAGATGATCAAAATTAGAGAAATAACATTAAGTACCTGGATTGTCGTGTTCTAAATGATGCAGAACGTGCATCGCCTGCCCTCCTGGGTAATTGTGATGTGCTATGAATAAAAACCCAGACGTGGTTACGACATTTCCCAACAGAAGACATGATGACCCGAGAGCCAGTAGTTTCCTCCACACTGACTTGCCTCTATTCTGCCATCTGTGATGATCAATTTCAAGAATGATGCATGTAGATGTTGCAAGAGTGTCCAACATATAGAAAGATCTTAAAGTTTTACTTTATGACATGCGATACTATCATAAACTTTCTTAATCTGACCCCTGCTTGACTGAATTATATGCAAGGTAATATTTGAGGGTGTAGGAAGACGATAAGGACAAGGGGGGAGAATAAAGAGGAAGAGCATAAGAAGAAGAGGAGAGGTTGGAAAAGCAGAAAGAAGAGGAAGAATAATAAGGAGAAGAGTAGGAGAAGCAGAAAGAAAAGTAAGAATAATAAGAGAGGAGAAGCAGAAAGAAGCAGAAGGGAGCAGAATAGGGGGAGTAGAAAAAGCAGAAAGAAGTTGAGTTTCATGACAGTCACATCACTGACTCAATCACTCAAGACACAGACATCACTGACCCATCCCTCAAGTTACTCACACTAATGATTCAATTCTTCATAGCAAACACATCAACGACTCAATCACTTATGGTACTGACATCAATGTCTCAATCCACTGACATCAATGACTCAGTCTATAGGAAACATCATCGACTCAGCCACTCATGGCATTTCCATCCCTGAATGTTGAATTAAGAATCGACATGACAGTACTCGGGACACCCCCATAAATGCTTTGTTCCCAGCTTCAGCAGCAAGCGAAGAGTTCCAATTACAATGGTACCACTAACTGTCTGACTGTATAACTGTCTGACTGTAGATCCGTCTCGCCTTTCCCCTGAGCGCTGAGCGCCGGCCAGATCCCCTTGTAACTCCTTGCAGCACCATTCTCCTCAGACAGTAATGATCTAGCTGTGCCCCGGCACAGTTCAACTGCTCCTAAAGAGCCCTGAAAACATCCAGCTTGTCCTACATCAGTTCACCACCAAGTGGTGCAGAAATGGGAAGTCTATCTGTCTGCTCCTTTCCCAACACACTGGCATGATCCGGAGAAAATATCCAATGGATGCTAACTACCCGGGACCTCTGAAGTGATGCTTGCCACTCTACATGCAGCATGCCTGTCTTTACCTTTCTCAACATGCTCTGCAAGACAGTTACAATCACAGCATGTATGTACAGCTGATTCTCAAGCCAGCGAAAGGCAGCAGTGACTGCCATTCCTTGCTCAACCATCCATGACCCCACATGACGAGCAAATCATAGACTCAAAAATAAATGACAAGCACATCACTGACTCAACCATCCATGACACTCCCATCACTGACTCAACCATCCATGACACTCCCATCACTGACTCAACCATCCAGGACCAACATGACCACTGATCACAGCACCACTCACAAAGTAGACAGGGCGCAGGCGGCCACTGTATTAATCACCGGGAACGTGTAGATGATGAACCTCAGCTCCTTGTGTGGGAGCAAAGAAAACAACAGGATGTAGCCCAGGGCAGGCCACAACAAGATCATCACATGACGGGTCAGGTAGACACCCACTGGCACCAGGATCAGGCTGACTGACAAGGCTCTGGGCAGCACCGAATAGAAGTACCACAGAAACGGAGATGTCTGCGTTTTTGTGGTCAAGGAAATTATAGGCACGCTTTAGTTTAACCTTTCTGATCCAGTAACCCTAGGGTTACAAACTACAACAATTTCACAAAGGTCATAAATTAATGAATAAACAATTTTTTAAATCAATTTCAGAGTAAAAAAATGTTATTTGATAGAAATGAAGCAAAGTAAATAAATAAGATCTGAGCTCAGAATCAAGTGGATTTTACTCACATCCCCCCTGCCCCCAGTTCTAAAAAAGTCTTCTTCTTTCGTCGTCTCACTGACGCCAGGTTGTGGCCCAGAGTAGTGGTTGTGTCGTCTCAATGACGCCAGGTTGTAGTGGTTGTGTTGTCTCAATGATGCCAGGTTGTAGCCCAGTGTAGTGGTTGTGTTGTCTCAATGATGCCAGGTTGTAGCCCAGTGTAGTGGTTGTGTCGTCTCAATGATACCAGGTTGTAGCCCAGTGTAGTGGTTGTGTCGTCTCAATGATACCAGGTTGTAGCCCAGTGTAGTGGTTGTGTCGTCTCAATGATACCAGGTTGTAGCCCAGTGTAGTGGTTGTGTTGTCTCAATGATGCCAGGTTGTAACCCAGTGTAGTGGTTGTGTCGTCTCACTGATACCAGGTTGTAGCCCAGTGTAGTGGTTGTGTCGTCTCAATGATGCCAGGTTGTAGCCCAGTGTAGTGGTTGTGTCGTCTCAATGATGCCAGGTTGTGGCTGTGTCGTCTCAATGATGCCAGGTTGTGGCCCAGTGTAGTGGTTGTGTCGTCTCAATGATGCCAGGTTGTGGCCCAGTGTAGTGGTTGTGTCGTCTCAATGATACCAGGTTGTAGCCCAGTGTAGTGGTTGTGTCGTCTCAATGACGCCAGGTTGTGGCCCAGTGTAGTGGTTGTGTCGTCTCAATGATGCCAGGTTGTAGCCCAGTGTAGTGGTTGTGTCGTCTCAATGATGCCAGGTTGTAGCCCAGTGTAGTGGTTGTGTCGTCTCACTGATACCAGGTTGTGGCCCAGTGTCGTGGTTGTGTTGTCTCACTGATACCAGGTTGTAGCCCAGTGTTGTGGTTGTGTCGTCTCACTGATACCAGGTTGTGGCTCAGTGTCGTGGTTGTGTCGTCTCACTGATACCAGGTTGTAGCCCAGAGTAGTGGTTGTGTCGTCTCACTGATACCAGGTTGTGGCCCAGTGTAGTGGTTGTGTCGTCTCACTGATACCAGGTTGTAGCCCAGAGTAGTGGTTGTGTCGTCTCAATGATGCCAGGTTGTGGCCCAGTGTTCTGGTTGTGTCGTCTCACTGATACCAGGTTGTGGCCCAGTGTTGTGGTTGTGTCGTCTCACTGATACCAGGTTGTAGCCCAGTGTTCTGGTTGTGTTGTCTCAATGATGCCAGGTTGTAGCCCAGTGTTCTGGTTGTGTTGTCTCACTGTTACCAGGTTGTGGCCCAGTGTCGTGGTTGTGTTGTCTCACTGATGCCAGGTTGTAGCCCAGTGTCGTGGTTGTGTTGTCTCACTGTTACCAGGTTGTGGCCCAGTGTTGTAGTTTTGTCGTCTAACTGATACCATGTTGAAGCCCAGTGTCGTGGTTCTCTGTATTTGTCTTGCGCTTCTTGGGTGATGGATTTGTTCATCTTTTTGCAGGTTTCGGCTACATCATTTATCTATCTTTTCTTGACTTTCTCTTCTCGCCTTCCTTCCAGATGTTCTGTTGTAAAAAGTTGTATATGCAGTTTGGTCTCATTGCATTCTCACTAGATTGCTGAACCATTTCAGAATTTGTTTGTCAATTTAATCCAGACATGGTCTTATTCCAACGTTCTCCTTAATGTTGGTGTTCATAACCCTGTCTCTTCTTGTGTTATTAGTGACCTCGCGGAGACAACGTCTTTCACATATAGTTATTTTCTGTTCCTTTGCCCTACTCATTATCCATGTTTGGCACTGATAACATAAAGTAGGGATAAAGTGTTATTATTGGCATTTGCTATTTTGCTGGAAGAGACAACATCTGGATGTCTAAGCAGTGTGGCTAACTGGTAGGTGACAGCATTTGTCTTCTGTACTCTGGCTTCAAAATCTTTTTGGATAATGTCAACCTCCATAAATATGCTTTCTAAATATTTGAATTTTTGTACTTGTCTGAATGAATAAATTTATTAGCCGTCTTATACATGACCCTGTGACATCGTCATATGACAACTGTCACCTGACCCTGCGACATCATCATATGACTACTGTCAATGTGAATTATGACATCAAGATGGCCTTTAAAAAAGCCCACCCCCATATCCTGGGTTTTCCAAACTTTGAACCTGCCCAAAGACAACCAATGCCCTCATTAACTCTTTCAGTTCCAAGGAATGCATAATTTATTCATTGGTTTTTACCTAGAAGCCCCAATGAACTCAAGATGCGTCTAATTTTTTTCTCTTTACCACAGCCTGGGCCTCTGATGCTAAATCTCCTGGGATTGAAAGAGTTAAGCTCCCTGGGGACAAGTCACAACAGCAGTGATGGTTAAGTGGTACTTACAGGAATCTGTCATAGACAGATCTGCCAGGTTTACGGCTTCTTGGGGGCCAAATGGTTAATATTCGTCTACTGCCCTTTATCCTTTACTATAACATAAGCCTCAAACAAATTTTTACCAACCTGTCCCATTTATGCCATCTCTACTGCTTACTCCATGTTTGCCACATATTTTTCTATCCCTT